AGGAATATATAAGGTTGTTATAAATTTAAAAGGAAGAACGAATGGTGAGTGAGCAGAAAAGATGAGTAAAAGGAAGTTTGAGAAAGATCTTGTGTCAGGTAATGATTATAGTTGGTTAGCAAAAGGTGTAGAGAAAACACGTAATATGGGCAAGAATAATCAAATTGTAAATCCAATGTGATGTATCAAGGAATACTGCTGTTTGCTTTGTATATGTGTTGTTGGTGGAGGATGGCTGTTGTTGTTTATATGTATTTATGTTTGTTATTGTTTTGTTTGTTATTGTTATGGAGGTGTGTCTTGGTAAAGTGGTGGAAACTAATAAAAATACTTATTAAAAAAAAAAATAGCTAGCAATCCAAAACAGTCCAGTGGAGCCTGAGCGGTGGGTGTTGCCTCCTGACACACTTCTGGTGATGTCAGGGGGTGTGGCATATGCAAATAAGTTATGCTAATGAGTTATGCTAATGAACTCCTGCACCTCTTTTTCTACGAAATACCCCCTGCTGGGGACGAAGATGGACCTTGCAACCCTACTTCTCTGTGTACTCTTATTCTCGTTTTGGGTCTAGCAAACAAGTTCCGCAGGCGCTTATATTTTTCAAAAACCTACAAAACTTGTTTAGCCAGAGGCAAGAGTGACTATGAACGATGAGAAATTAAGTCTCCGTCAAACCACTTTCTGCTCTCTTAAGAGCAGAAAGAAATTCTGCACTAGACCTTAAATCCTGGTTCAGCCCTGTCCCCAAACTTACATTCTACACTACACTCAAGTTCACCCCTGTAATTATCTCAGGTCACCCCGGTTTTGTCCCACACTTGTCCCAGGATAAACGGATGCTGTTATAACCAGGGATAAATGCAAGGTATTGTGTAGCGAGTTGAACTCTGATAAAACCAGGGATGAGATACAAGTGCGGAAAGGACCTAAGTTGAAACCAGTCAGCTCTACTAGACAAATGTATCCTACATCCTCCCGTTTCAGTTTCTATGCACCCCCTTCACTTCCACACTGCTGGTTTAAACCTTTATAATTCCACATCCTTTATAAATCCACATCCTTTATAATCCTTTATAAATCCACATCTGACAATTTAAATTGTTATCCATCACAATTCACACCACAAAAATTATGGCACTTAGTCTCCAAGGTGGTAAGGAAATTATTTTCCCCATATAAACCTTGCCTCTCCAACCTATTCTTTAGGCCTCTGTGTCTTTCATTCTACTAACTGGCTGTTGTTTTATGCGTCATTATCCTTCCCCCACCACCACCACAACCACCACAACCATCACCACTCTCCTCCCAATAATGCTTTCTTGCACAATGACTTCCCCTTAAAGCCCCCAGCTCACTCACCTGTTTTGCCAGCTCCACTCTCACCGGTAATAAGGACGCACTGGTCCTTATCCTGGTCCCTCAGGGAGCGGTAAGCATCATCAGCTATGGCATAGCTACACAGGGCAAAGAGGAGACATATAAGGAAGGCTGATTTCCCTCCCACCATTACCTCCCCACATTCCTTGAAGTTTTGACTCCCACAGGATCTTACTTACATGTGAGGCTTTACAGCAAAGAAGTTACAGTTCTTATACTGTTCCACCATCTCTTCTGAGTAAATGGGCAGGGGCTGATATGGGTTCACTGAGATCACCACATTCCCAATGTAAGTCTGAGGCAGAAATATTGTTATTAACAACATGTACAGAGAAGTGGGGACGTGGAATAGTATGGTCGGGGGTCATTTCCCGCAGGAGCGCACAGGAGCGGAGCTCCGGCAGTAAAGAGCCCAGGGGGCGGGCACATTCAACAAGCCCCACCCCCTGCTCCCAGCAGCCCTCAGTCAGAGCAAGAAGCAGCCAGGTAAGTTGCAGAGCCCCACCCCCCCGTCCAAAACAGTCCAGTGGCACCTTTAAGACCAAGTTTTATTCAGGTACAAGCTCTCCCTCCTATGCAAGGACAGATCTGCATGTTCCCCTCCCCCCAATAGCTAGCAATCCAAAACAGTCCAGTGGAGCCTGAGTGGTGGGTGTTGCCCTCTGACACACTTCCGGTGATGGCAGGGTGTGTGGCATATGCAAATAAGTTATGCTAATGAGTTATGCTAATGACACCTCCTGCACCTCTTTTTCTACGAAATGACCCCCGAGCACAATCTAAGCAGGGTCAATACTTGAAGGGGGGGACCACTGAGGAAGACTCAGCAGAGAAAGGCCAACGGCAAATCCTCTCTGCATCTCACTTGCCTTGAAAGCCCCTTGCTGGGGTTGCCATAAGTCAGTTGTGACTCGACAGCACATGTGTATGTACAGGAAGGTGAGCTATAAATGAGGACCGAAGAAAAGGCTGAGCTTCCCCACCTCCAGCTGGTTTTGTAGGAACGGTAGGCAGGGAGACAGCAGGCTCCAGGCGGGCCCTGCTCTCTGCCCAGGTTCTTGACCAGAACCACATGCCCGCCTGCCAAAATCATGCAAGCCATCAAGTGCATGGTAGTATGGGGTAGTATGATTTAGGAGCAACAGCTGATGTCACCCTGGGATTCATGGGGAATTTATTCATGCTGAATGCAATGTTTATTCTCAAACTGGACCTTTGAGAAAAATATTCTGCAACCCTTGCTATCTGTATAGGCAATTATGTGGTGAATGAAAGGGGATCTAGTGTGCATGTGCTCACACGAATAGTGTTTTTTAAAAAAAGCATCCCCCCAAATATGTCCAAAGGAGGAAATGATGGGTGAAAAGAGGACAAGCAATTTCCAGAACAGGGATGATCCATCATAAATATGGAGCATTTGAGACCTGTTCGAGTTGTGCAACAGTTAGAGGGGCGTAGTGGTTAAGAGTGTCAGACTTGGATCTGGGAAACCCAGGTTCAGATTGCCACTAAGCAGTGGAAGCTTGGACTAGTGACACCCTTCTCAGGTTAATTTAGATCACAGGGTTGTTGTGTGGATAAAATGGAGAAGGATGTAAGCTGCTTTGGTTCCCATTGTGGAGAAAGGAGGGGTATAAATGAAGTAAAGGGGGGGGGTGTTTCTGCATAACTAGGTTCTAACCAATGCTCCCTCTAAGCTGTGGAGTCTTGTGAGCAGAAATTCTATTTTGTGAGTGACAGGCATTAAAATTGTGAGTGAGCAATTTGGCTGCTGCGTAAATCAGTCTGCTCTGGAGCCATCCTTCCTGAGCTGAGACAACAATGTGTGAGCTGGAGGCTAAAAAACTGTGAGCTAGCTCACACTAACTCAGCTTAGAGGGAAACTGGTTCTAACCCCTTTCATATCTGAGAACCAGTTTGGTGTCGTGGTTAGGAGCATGGACTCTAATCTGTGAGAACCGGGTTTGATTCCCCACTCCTCCACATACAGCTGCTGGTGTGACTCTGAGTCAGCTACAAGTTATTTCAGAGCTGTTCTCTCACGAGCAGTTCTCGAAAAGCTCTCTCAGCCCCACCTACCTCACAGGGTCCCTGTTGTGGGGAGAGGAAGGCAAAGGAGATTGTAAACTGCTCTGAGACTCCTTCAGGTAGTGAAGGGTGGGGTATAAATCCAATCTCTTCTTCTGCTTGTAGTGTTGTCAAGTCACAGCCGACTTATAGCAACCTTAGCAAGGGGCTTTCAAGGCAGGTGAGAAGTGGAGGTAGTTTGCCATTGCGTTCCTCTGCAGAGTCTTCCTCGGTGGTCTCCCTCCCAAGTACCTACCAACCCTGTTTAGCTTCCGAGATCTGACACAATGAGGCCATACCATGCCGTCTTCCCTTCCTCTAACCCATTTTACTAGTATGCAATCTACTCCCTCTCCTTACCCCTCCATCCTTCCCTGCCGGCTGTGATCAAATGTCTTGGCTTCTATGGTCATAGACTAAGTAGGCATGGATGGATCTCATGTCATATTAAGTTTCCAAATCTCCATCACTCCTTCCTAAACTGGAAAAGCTCCCACCAGAGTTATTCCTCATTTCCCGCCCATCTTACATAGATTTCATTATGTCGGAAACGTTCCTCCAGGTTTTGCACCAACGTATCTTCTGTCAGTGGGTCAAGAAGTACCAGGTCTCCCACCCCAACGGTGTTGAGTAGGGTCAGATTGGTGTCCATGGCTTCGTGGGGTGGGGGAGACAAACACCAGCCTGCAGGTTAATGAAACAGCTTGATTAGTCCAGATGATTTTTAGCTCCAGAACATAGACCTCCCCAGGGCTTTTTTGGTAGAAAAAGCCCAGCAGGAACTCATTAGCATAATAAGGCATACCCAGCAGCAAAAACTCATTAGCATATTAGGCCACACCCCCATGGTACCAGAAGTGTGGTCATCCAGCCACACCCACCTTTTGCTTCTTATTCTGTTTACCTTGTTTGTTGTCAAAACCCGGGGGGGGTTGTAGCAGGACCTCCTTTGCATGTTAGGCCACACACCCCTGATGCAGCCAATTCCAATGAGTTTCTCCACCCACCCCTGATGCAGCCAACTCCAATGAGTTTCTGCTGTTGGGTGTGGCCTGTTATGCTAATGAGCTCCTGCTGGGTGTGGCCAACTCAGGAGCCAGCCAGAACTCCGTTCCTGCCCCAAAATAGCCCTGGACCTCCCCATTCCGCAACATACAAACTGACTGCAGGGTCTTGACACAGCAAGTGACGGGTTGTATACAAGAGAAAAAGCCCAGTGTACGCCATGCTGATGACGCGGCCTCCACTCAGGCAACGAACCTGGTGTTGTCCAATATGTAATGACCCCCACTCACCAGGCTGGGCACATGCTCGATTTGATCTTCGCGGCAGGGGTAACAGTGGACCGGCAGTCCCATGGTCGGACCACCATGCCCTGAGGGCCCGCCTGAATGGTCCACCCTGATCCTGTTTAGGTGGCAAGCGTATTTTAGCTCACCCATGGAGCCAGATGGACCCAATGTGGCTCCAGATGGCCCTGCGGGATCTGATGCCCCCTGGCGGCTCATTGGATAAGCTTGTAGAGGACTGGCACAGCCGACTCTCTGCAGCCATCGACGAGAGAGATCGCTCCCCGGCGCCCTCTGCGCTCTCAAATTAATCGAGAGGGTGGTGGCAACACAGTTACAGGGCTTTATGGATGACACCTCCATGTTATATCCCTTCCAGTCTGGCTTTCGCCTGGGACACAGGACGAAGATGGCATTGGTCGCTCTGACTGACGACCTCCGGAGGCATCTGGATCGGGGCAGTTTGGCAGTACTATTGCCGTTGGACCTGTCGGCTGCGTTCGACAGGGTCGACCATCTGTTGCTGCTCCACCACCTCGCGGACATGGGAATTCACGGGCTTGCCCTGCAATGGCTTGTTTCCTTTCTCCAGGGTCAGGGACAAAGGGTGGCACTAGGGGAACAGCAGTCCAGGAGGCACCCGTTGGAATGTGGAGTGCCTCAAGGGGCAGTGCTTTCCCCGATGTTATTTAACATCTATATGTGCCCACTTGCCCAGATAGCCCGTAGGTACAGGCTGGGGTGTCACCAGTACACTGATGACACCCAGCTCTATCTGATGTTGGGTGGCCAATCGGACTCAAGACCAGAAGACTTGGACTGGGTGCTACAAGCCGTGGCTGGTTGGCTCAGGATGAGTCGGCTGAAACTGAATCCAGTGAAGACAGAGGTCCTGTGTGTGGGTCAGGGTGGTACAGGGGTGGGGGTCCCACTCCCGACCCTCGGTGGGACACCATTGGTGCCGGCGCCGGAGGTTAGGAGCTCGGGAGTGCTCCTGGATACCTCCTTATCAATGGAGGCCCAGGTAGCAGCCACTGCTAAATTGGCCTTTTACCATCTTTGGCTGGTTAGGCAGTTGGCTCCTTTCCTCGACTGCAACAACCTGGCCACAGTGATCCATGTGACGGTCACCTAGAGACTAGACTACTGTAATGCTCTCTACATGGGGCTGCCCTTGTCACAAATTCGGAAGCTGCAGCTAGTGCAGAATGCCGCAGCCAGGCTGCTGATGGGCCTGCCCATATGAGAGCACATCCGGCCTTTGCTGAAGGCACTGCACTGGCTGCCAATAGCATACCGAATTCGCTTCAAGGTGCTGGTGCTTACCTTTAAAGCCCTATATGGCCAAGGTCCAACATACCTGAGGGACCGCCTTTCACCATATATATACCAGAGAGCACTACGGTCGGGGTCACAGAATTGACTGACCCTCCTGACCCTCCTGGGCCCCAAAGACACCAGGTTCACCATTGCCAGGGCCTTCCGAGTGGCGGCTCCTTGCTGGTGGAATGAGCTCCCAGAAGAGATCAGGGCCCTGCGGGACCTTTTACAGTTCTGCAGGGCCTGCAAGACGGAGCTCTTCCACCAGGCCTTCGACTAGGAGCCACCCTGATCATCACCCTCAATGAGCCCGGACCTTAGCCTAATATCTAGCCTAGTCCATCGTGTGACCCAAGGAGACCATGACCTGGATTGTTTGCTTGCAACACTCTTAGGATGCTATCTCAATTAACTAAGGATGGACGATTGACATCTATAACTTTATAACTGTATTTGAATTATTTTAATGTGATTTTAGGTGATTTTTTGTGGTTTTACTGGTATTTTGTACCAACTGTGTGAGCCGCCCTGAGCCTGCTTGCGGGGAGGGCGGGGTACAAATTGAACGAATTAATAAATAAATAAAGAACGTTGATACAAAAATGATTCTCCACATCACTTTTTTCAGATCCTTCTTGACATGAGACTCCTCTGTCTGTCTGTCTGTGTTATATGCCATTAAGTTATTTCTGAGTTATGGTGACCCAATGAATTAAAGACCTCCAGAATGCCCTATCGTCAACAGCCTTACTCAGGTCTTGCAAAATGAAAGCCATGGCTTCCTTGATGGGGACAATCCATCTCATGTTGGGTCTTCCTCTTTTCCCACTGTTTTCAACTTTTCCTAGCATCATTGCCTATATATGGTACACCTGACCACAGTAAAATGTGCAAAGCTTTTGTAGACTCTTGATGAATAAGGTAAAGGTAAAGGTTTCCCTTACTCAAAAGCCAGCCGAATCCAACTCTAGGGGGCGGTGCTCATCTCTGTTTCCAAGCCAAAGAGCCAGCGCTGTCCAAAGACTTCGCCATGGTCATGTGGCCAGCATGACTAAATGCTGAGGTTTACAGAACACTGTTACCTTCCCACCGAAGCAGTACCTATTTAAAAAGGTAAAGGTTCCCTTGCTTGAAAGCCAGTCGAATCCGACTCTAGGGTTGCGGTGCTCATCTCCGTTTCAAAGCTGAAGAGCCAGCGCTGTCCGAAGACGTTTCCATGGTCATGTGGCCAGCATAACTAAACACTAAGACGCACGGAACGCTGTTACCTTCCCACCGAAGTGGTACCTATTTATCTACATGCAATTTCTTGCTTTCAAACTGCTAGTTTGGCAGGAGCTGGAACTAGAGATGGGAGCTCACTCCGTCTTGCGGCACCCAGATCTCGAACTGCTGAACTACTGACCTTCCACAGCCTGCAGTTCAGCGTCTTAACCACTTGAGCCACCACAGCACTTGCAATTTCTTGCTTTCGAACTGCTAGGTTGGCAGGAGCTCGAGCCAGAGATGGGAGCTCACTCTGTCACGCGGCACTAGAGTCTCGAACTACCGAGCTACAGACCTTCCGTTCTGCAGCTCAGATGTCTTAACCGCTTGATGAATACAAAACCACAAATATAAATATACGTAAGACATTGTCAAATCACTGTAGGTTAATTAATCTGGTTTTTTTTAATTATTCTGATTAACTCATATTGTGAGAACATTTCCATCTGCAAAAGTTTATGCTGTAATAAAATGCTGTTAATCTTATGATGTGATAATTTTTTTGATAATCAAATGCCACTAGACTCCTGTTTATTTTTTGCCAAAACAGATTTCACACATTACAAAGTCCTCGTGTTCCCTTTTGTGTCTTCTCCTGGGTCCTGTCAATAGGAGCTCTGGGAGTTCCATGCTAATTTCCAGGCCTGCAAGGGGCCCAGTTTGGATCAGCACCATGGTGCCTGGGGAGAGAGTTTTAAGCCTTCTACTTTGGGCCATTTTCCTGACCCATCAGCATAACCGATCAGTACACGTAAGTTTTCCAAGTGGGGCAAATAACAGCTAGCGGGAGGAGCTGTTGTCTGTGTGTAAAGTACCAAAAAGTCACAGCTCACTTCTGGTAACCCCATGGGGTTTCCAAGGCAAGAGACCAGCACAGGTGGTGTGCCATTGCCTGCCTCTGTGTAGCAGAGTGGTCTCCCATCAAAGTACTAACCAGGACTGCCCTGACCTGCATAGCCCAGGCAAGCCCAGTCTCGTCATATCTCGGCAGCTAAGCACGCCTGACCCTGGCAAGTATTTGGATGGGAGACCTCCAGGGAATACCACGGCCAGGAGGCCAGAGGCAGGCCACCAAGCTGTTTCTCTGAATGTCCTCCATGCCCCAGTAGGAGTCGCCAGAGGTCGCCATGACTTCAAGGCACGGGAACACGCACATGCACAAATGCAAAAATACCCCCCCCAAAAAAGTACTAACCAAGGCTGATCTTGCTTAGCTTCCAAGATCTGGAGAGATTGGGCTAGCCTGGGCCATCCGGGTCAGGCCCTGGGACAGCTACATGTCAGGAAAACAGTACATGAGAGGGCTAATCTCCCTCTTACTGTGCTCAGCAGTTGCGATCTGAATTGGGCCATGTACACCTGGAAATCAAAGTTTGCATCCTATGACTTTTTTCTGGGTGTGCCGGACAGTCACCATTGTGAAGTGCAGTTCCCCTGCTACTAGCACATCAGTGCTTTTCACTGAACTCTTGCACAAACAGAAGTGCTACTGGGAAAGGAAGCACACTCCATAGCAGCACATATGGAATGCAGTCATAGGATCCAAGCCAATGTTTCCAAACACAGGGGGTTTTTGAACACACCCGTCAACAAGATCCATAACAGACAAATGAGAGACTTTATAATGTATGTATGTATCAGCTTTCAGGAAAATGGGGAGTGCATAACTATACTCCCTCTGCAGTATGCCCCATCAGCATGTGGAGAGAGACATTTCTGTTAGCCCTACAATAACTATGGAGTACCTTTCAGGTTCAGTTACCTTTATTGGCATTGACACTGGAAAAAAATACACAAATAGATAAATAA